CAAAGACTGGTTCATCCCAAAGATCCAGTCCCCCGGCACAAACAGAGTAATGTTGTGTATGCTGTTCAGTGTCAGGAGGGCTGTGATCAGTCTTACATCGGGGAAACAAAACAGCCACTGGCCAAAAGGATGGCCCAGCATAGAAGATCAACATCATCAGGCCAGGGCTCTGCGGTCTTCACTCATCTCCAGGCCAGCGGTCACTCTTTCAGGGATGAAGATGTTCACATCCTGGACAGAGAGGAACAATGGTTTGAGAGAGGAGTAAAGGAGGCCATCTTTGTGAAAAGAAATCGTCCATCGTTAAACAGGGGTGGAGGCCTCCGGGTTCAACTGTCCCCCTCTTACAATGCTGTGATTGCTAGTATCACTCAGCCCTCTGTGAACAGTAAACAGCCATCAGTGTGTTAATGATCCATTGTTAGGCTGATGGTCCTTCTTGAGCATGTGATCAGCTGGTTTTGGTTGTCAGCAGCAAAACTGGTTGATCCACTCTGAGACGGTGCTATTTAAGAGACTGAGCTGAATACAGCTCCTCAGACTGAGGAAGTCTCTCGGATGAGAGACGAAACGTTTCTACATTTTTTTGTTGATTTGCTTTGTTTTGTTTTTTTGAATGTCCAGAGGACCAGATTTAACTTTTTTAGATTGTTAAATCATGTTTCTTCCAACTGAGGCGGCTGTCTAAACTGAAGCCCATATTATCCAACAATAACCTGGAGACGGGTGGCTGTGGCTGAGTGGTTAGAGCAGTCGTCCTCCAATGCGAGAGTTGGGGGGTTCGAATCCACCAGCAGTCACATGCTGAATTGTCCCTGGGCAAGACACTGAACCCCTCATAGCCTCTGATGTGTGTCCCATCGATGTATGAATGTGATCTAAAGCACTGATTTGTCTCATTAGAATGATTTGTTCAATTAGTTTTGTTGAGATCTAGTAGAGTGCTGTATGAATGGGTAAATGAGGACACAGATTGTTGTGTAAAGCGCTTTTAGTATCTTGGAATAAGATAAAAAGGCGCTATATAAGTACAATCCATTTACCATTTAATATACGCATTCATTACATCTAGGCTTGATTACTGCAATTCGCTCCTGTTTGGTATCAGTCAGACCTCTATTGAATGACTACAACTGGTCCAGAATGCAGCAGCCCAATTTTTTACCAGTACAGGCAAAAGAGAGTACATTACACTAGTTTTGGCCTCACTGCACTGGTTACCGGTTCACCTTTGAATCCAGTTCAAAATACTCCTGTATATCTACAAATCACTAAACAGTCCCATCCCGTCCCCCCCCTCCCCCAATCTCTCTGATTTGCTACAACCGTATGTCCCTCCACGTTCTCTGACGTCAGCGGACCTGTTGCTCCTCACAGTTCCAGGAACTCATCTTAAGCGCAGAGGTGACGGGGCCTTCTCTGTAGCAGGCCCAAGACTTTGGAATGAGTTGCCTCTGCCTGTCAGACAGGCCCCCTCCCTCTCGGTTTTCAAATCCCATTTAAAAACCCACTGCTATTCAGTAGCTTTCAACACTAGAGGATCTGTGTTTTGAACCTGTATGCTCCACACTGGTTTGTCGTCATATTTATTATCTGCATCGTTTTTATCAGAATCAGAATAAACTTTATTGGCATTGCACTGAGATACAACGAGAATATGTACGTACAGTTGTCCGAAAGATGGGTGGAGTGCACGAAGCTGTGGCTATAAATAGTGTGGCCCTCTTATTCTTATTTAGAATAATATTTTGCTTAGATGAGAAAAGGGAAGAAAACATGAGGAGAGACGGTATTAAAAAAAGATCTCTCACACCATGTCCTAGACAGGGCACGATTTGAGGCATAAAAAAAACTACCACAGCAAAGCAACATAAACAGACGTTATACATGTACATATAGGCGGTGAAGACATTGAATTTTTAAGGGAAAGTCGTAGCATAGTCCAGAGCCCCCCCTCTCAGCCATTGTCCAGATAAGAGGTGACATTCATCATCAGCTCAGTTGAGGTTCTGTCACCTGTCCACGGCCTTGGGGAAGGGAGGGGTGAGGAGACAGTCAAAGCATCTTTGTTGTTTTCAGAACATTCCAGGAGGAGTTGAGATAAGTCCGGCGTCAAGGCCACAATTTGGGTCAGGCAGAACTCGTGAATTGTTGTTTTCTGCCTTTTAAAGTCACTCTGGTATATATTCTCTGATGGAACTACAAAACAGCCGAATTGATCCTTTACACCAAAAGTCAAGCTCACACCTTCTCCAAGATTATTCCCACTATTCATGAGTGCTGCCAGAAAGTTCATAGTCCTGATAACAGCTGCTCCAGCTCCCTGTCGCAGCTCTCTAAATTCAGTCTGAGCACTGTCGAGCTTCGACACATCCACACGAATTTGTAGACAATCCAAGATTTCACCAACCCAAACAGCAGAATCTAGTTGTCATCATGAATCCAATTTGTTCCTTAGAGGTCAGAGGGTCCTCCTTACCCTGACTCCTGTCGGGAGAAGTTGATCGATTTTGTTGAGAGACCAGCTGATCATTCGAATTAAGAGGTATACAGAAAAAAAATAGGCATTTTAAGGGTTCACGGGACAGAAGAGTGCAGCAGGGAAACGGGTGGTGGGGGGAAGACAGGGAAACATGTCTGGTTTCACTGGAGGATAGAGGGAAAAAATGTCTTTTATGTCTTTATTCTGATTTACCTCATTTTGTATATTCCTTTGTGTGTTGCCTGTTGTTCTGTCTGTACAGCACTTTGGTTGGCCTTGTCTCTGTTTTAAGTGCTCTATAAATAAAATGGTATGGTATGATATGATATAGTACAAAGACCTGTCTAACTCTGTCCCTAGTTATACGCGACCTGTCTAACTCTTCCCCTGGTTTTACACAAACTGTCTAATTCTACCCCTGGTTTTACACAGACCTGTCTAACTTTACCCCGGTTATACACACACTTATCTAAATATTCCCCTGGCTAAACAGACCCGTCTAACTCTACCCCTGATCATTCACAGACCTGTCTAACTGTACCCCAGGTTATACACAGACCTGTCTAACTCGAACCCTGGTCATACACAGAACTGTCTAACTCTACCCCTGATTGTACACAGCCCTGTCTAATTCTACCCCTGGTCATGCAAAGATCTGTCTAACTCTAAACCTGGTCGTACAAAGACTTGTCTGACCCTGATCATACAATGACCTGTCTAACTCTTACCCTGGTTAATAAGAGTAGAACCGACTCAGTGTAGGACAAAGGGACAGCTAATCCAGAACTCTGAAGTTGTGCAGCTCTAACTCATCCTTTGTGGATTTGACCACCAGATGGAGCTGTATCACATGTTGAATTAACTACAGAAGAACAGAGAAGGTCCTCCTGTTTCCATGGAAACCAGGGAGTGATGTTAACAGGCATGATGTTTGTGCTGATCAGTTCTGCAGAAAAATGTCAAACTGCTGACTTGCACCTTTTCTGCCTTGTCCTCTTCCTGCTCTTCCTTTGTCTCCTCCTCTTTTTGTGTCCTTGTTTCTGCTTTGCCTCCTCCTCCTCTGCAGCATTGGAACAGGAGAAGGAGCAGAGAACTGACATGTCTCTCTGCTGCAGTAGAAAAAAAAAAATCTGTTTTCAGCAGTTTAAAGTGAAGTTTTGAGATCAAGACATTTTCACATTTCAGTGACCAAAGCAACTGCAGAGTCACAGTCCCAGTGCTTTAATTTATGTTTTATTGTTGTTCAGAACAAGTGAAATGCAGTATCAGGTTCAGACAGAACAAGTTACAGAACTGGAACTTTTTGGGGCAACCCAAACTCCAATAGAACATAGAAATAAACATGAAACTTTCTCATCCAATTTATCCCAATGATGTCTGACATCTGTCTGAACCAAAACCCAAGCAATGTTAAAAAAACACAAACAATATAAGTTTTATAGAAGATTGGACTGCTTACGCAGGAAGTACTTCTATAATACTTGTCTTTGAACTGCTGGTAAGATACTCAGGAGCAACTTTTATTACAGGTATTTCTTTAGAAGTCTCTATAGCTTTAGTGCAGTTTGAACAAAGTTAAATGTTGTAGTTTTAAATCTCAGTCACACACACGTCTTGGTCTCAAACCCCTGCTGCCCTTGGTTCTCTACCTTGGTTTCCATGGAAACGGCCAGATGAAGTAGCTGTTTCCATGGTAACAGCTGGCCATAGTGCCTGCAGTGTTGGTTATGATGATGCATGATCATCCTGATGAGGGCCACACGACACCTGTCTCACTTATCAGCTTTTGTTCTGGTTCTACTGGTGGTTCTGCCCAGAACCTGGTCTAGGACACCCCCCGACTGTCTAAAGGTTGAAGAATAGGGAGGGACATTTCTTCATCACATCAGATGTCTCCTGAGGCATCTCTGTCTTTCATACAACAGAGTCCAGTCTTCAGGCAGCCCTCCACCAGTCTGTCTTCCTGTCTGCCATGTCCCCACAGCCTGGACGAGACCTGTCTCTCTGCTGGGAGCAGCACCGGAAACTGCTGCCAGGCGTGGCCAAAGTCCACGCGGATGCCGTCCAGTGCTGGAGCATCCAGCAGGTGAGTGGGACAGATCAGCTGTTTCCCTGTAAACACTGGTTGTCATGATGGTGATGTCACAGTTTCACCTGTGTGTTTTCACAGGTGTCGGATTTTATTGAGTCTCTGCCTGGCTGTGAGGAACAAGCCAAACAGTTTAGAGACGAGGTGAGACAACCAATCAGCTGCTGCAGATGTGATGGCATCATCATACTTCACTAAACATTGTTCTGATCCAAATCAGTCATATTTAAACTGATTCAGTAGCTGTTTGTGCAACTAATTAAGAATTTATTTCAACATGATTCAGTCCCATTCTGAGTAGGCACCAGACAGATGGCAGGTAACCAGAACCACAACCAGGGTGGACATGCTCTGTTTAGCAGCAGTATTAGACTGAGTTTAGATTATGTTTAAAAGATAAAGACATGCCGAGTAAAGTGCATATTAGCTTCATTTCATCTGCCTGAGTACTGTCAACGATCTGCTTCCACTATTGTTTCTGTCAAAGATGTAATGTTCTATGAAAGAATCACTTTTTGAGGTCAGATCAGGTCAGACCATGGAAATCAAGGTCTGATCAGGTTTGACAGCAGAAAAAAAGGTCGGATCAGGTAAGAATTCGGAAAACAAGGTCCAATCAGGTTAGACAGAGGAAAACAATGTCCGATCCAGTTAGACCTTGGAAAATAAGATCAGATCGGGTTAGACCGCGGAAAACAAGGTCTTATCAGGTCAAACCATGTAAATCAAGGTCATATCAGGTTAGACCACAAAAAATTATCAGATCAGGTCAGAACGTGGACAACAGTAGCTATGTTTACATGGACATAAGTAATAGGATTAAAAAGCCATTCAGAATAAAAATGTGTAATGTAAATGCCCCCATTCAAATTTTTTGTTGATTCAGCTTGATCCAAAAGAATTTGTAATCAGAATGAGCCGTGTAGTTTATGCCAATTCAAAATCTGAACGGTGTGCACTTGATCTGTTCATTTTTTTCCGATTGTGGAAAACTGACCTGACTGTGCATGTGCGATCTATAATCTACCTCATGTATTTCCGCCTGGCTAGATACTAATAATAATTAATATTAGCATGTAGCAGAAGCAAAACTGGTTGGTGAGCTACATTTCTACTAGAAACTTTGAAAGAGCTCAAAATTACCTGTATTACCTGTAGCTCAATCAGGGAGCGCAGTAAAGTCTCCACCGTCATTAAAACCTGTTGCGGGTCCATTTTGTGCACTCAGGTTTGTTTACGTTAATCCCAGAAGTAAACAGGAAGTAGAACAACTTCTTCTGTGTTTTTTTAAGAAGAGTTTACCACTCTGCGCATGTCAGTACTTCTGTTCTGAATAAAAGCCCGCTGCATGTAAACGTTCATCGTTAACTGATTATGCCCATGTAAACGATACATTCAAATTATTTAATCTGAAAACATTTCAGTCTGGTCAAAGAATGTTGTGCCTGTAAACATAGCTAATGTCCGATCAGGTCAGACCGTGGAAAACAGGGAATCATTTTTTTGTCAATAAAGGTACTGACAAACACCTAGATTTAACCTCTCTCATCTGATTGATTCTTATTCTTTTTAGCAAATAGATGGGCGGGCCTTTCTTCTGCTCACACAACAGGACATCGTCAAGATCATGTCAATCAAACTTGGCCCTGCCCTGAAAATCTACAACTCCATCTTGATGTTTAAACATGCCAAGGAAAAGAGCCCATCACACGTTGAGGACAACAGCCAGTCGCACACTCAGGATTTGTGCACCTGACATTTGCAACTGAATAAACTCTGAATCACCTGAAGAAAGTCCCACCCCCTGCTTGTCTACCTGCTCCCTCTCAGCCTTGTATTATCCAACCATCAGTCAGGTTTGAATGATTGATGTCACACAGAGCTCAGGCGTCAGCAGGCGGTACCTTCAGGTCAGGCGCCGCCTCTTTTTTGAGGCAAAACGAAGCGATGTAGAGAAGCATATGTTTTGAGGAGGTCCAGACTGAACAGGTGAGGTGGGCGGAGCCTGGAGGTCTCAGGGACAGTTTGTTTTCATAGTAGCGTCAAAACAATAGTAAACAACAAACATGTCTGGACTCACAGCAGCTGGGAAATATTCATAACAGATATTCATTCTTAGGTTTAATCTCACATTTAATGAGAGAAAGATGAAATGCTAAATAAACATGAAAACAAACAAATTTACAAATAAAAGTTCTCTAAACAATTGAAAATGTTTAAAGAAAAAAATGCAGAAAACTTTCAAATGTGTCAGAAACAGATCAGAAAAACTTTAGTTCAAAGTTAAAAATAAAATGTCACACCAACGACTGACATGAGGCCAACATGTTAATGAGACATTAGCATTTTAAATTTGTTATTCTGTCAGTAAAAAATATTAATGAGATGCTATGATGCCAATAATGATGCATGTTACAGGACTCTCATGTCCACCACATGTTTGAGATGTTATCATGTTTAATGGATGTCATCATGTTAATAAATCATAGGATGGTAAGATGCTGTAGTTGTGTTAACGAGATGTCTCAATAATGAAGTGATACCATGTTAATGACATGTTAGGACAATCTTCATATCAACAAGATGTCATTTTCATGTTACCTTTCATGATATGTTTTAATGAAACATCTTAATTGGTGGTGTAGAGGCAGGGCAGCCAGCTTGGGACCCGAAAGTCCCAGGTTCGATCCCCAGTCACTGCACATCACGTGGCGTCTCTGGGCAGCACGCCTCATCCCCAAAATGCCCCCGGGCGCCTTCAATAGCTGCCCACTGCACCACCTGGTGGTGGATGGGTTATATGCAGAGACTAATTTCGCCATTGTATGGAAACATACAGTGCTGACATTGTGATGACATTATTATTATTATTATTATGAGGTGTCATTAACATATTGTCATATTTCTAAGAAAGTATGGTAATGACGCGTTAAAACAACATTTATCAACAATGTCATTATCATGAAGGCTTGTTAGAGACCTTATCTTGTTTATGACATGTCAACATGTTAATGAAATCATACTTTAGAGACTACGATGAAATGTGTTTGTTACTGAGATAACCTCATGTTAATGATGTGTTAATTGATTAATGAAATACTATGGATACCAAGCTATTAAGATTAATGATTTGTCATTATGACAGTGTGCTAATGATATGTATGTTAACGACACAGTGACACATGTTAATTAGGTTAATGACATGTTAATGAGATTGAATTGTCATGTTAATTGGATAATGTCAAGTTTATGAGATGGAGGTTTGGAGCAAGTAACCTGATGAGATTCAGCGTCAGATGAGTCATTTTGGTCACATGTACCTTTTATTTTTGCATGACTCATCAGTCGGCAGGTCTCTAACGGAAAGTAGATGATGACATCACGCTGTGGCTCCACCTCTCCCTAGAAACTTTGCTTTCAGGATTTCATGTTTTGGACTTTACCAGTGACATCATCCTGTCTGCTCTGCTGTGATTGGTAAATCATTGAAAGGTTTTGGTGGGCGGAGTTTATTATTGTGTTTCAGAGAATCCATTGTTATGTACTGTCTTCTAGAGTTCTATTTTAACGTTTCTATTTACAAATAGATTTATATTACAGTCCTGCTGCATCGAAACCAAAAAGCTGACTCCTCCCCCTCTCTGATGTCACAGAAGCCATTACTGAACTCAAACTAGCACCTTCAGGCCAGGGGGTGCTAAGCTGCACATGCTCAGTTTGTAAAAAAACATGCTTCCTCAGGTTTCCATGGTAACAGCTGATATTTATACATTTACTTCCTGTTCTGCTGTTTCTGTCAGTGTTTTATTGAGATCAATAAAGTTTCTGAAAAACACAAGCTCAGTCTGAATGGATCCTGAGTTCTGGATCTGGATCAGATCCAGGATCAATGTCTTATAAGAAATAGCTGCTATTTTTTCTCTCTCTTTTATCAGTTGATTGTGTGTGTGTGCGTGCGTGCATTCGTGCATGTGTGTGTGTAACTGATCACATGATGATGACAAGGTAAACATGACTCCTCAAGTCCTCTGTCCCCATCAGTCCTGACAATCACAGAGGATTCCGGTTCTGCTGACTGGTCAAGAGACTGTTGTGTGTAACATGGCTGACAGCGCCACCTGCTGACCACACTTGTCACAGACACACACTGTTCTCACACAGACGCACACTGTTCTCACACAG